TAAAGGGTTAATAACCGCTGATCAAAATGCCTGTACCATTTGTGACTGTATTGTACAGTGAAACTTGTCTTAAAAAGAACTAGCTAGCTCTTTACAATGCAATTAATATCCTGTTGTAGTAACACCCACTGTACCATTGTCAGGAAAAGCTGTCCATCCATTTGGAACTAACACTGGTCTTAATCCACGTCACAGTTAGAGTTGTATGATGCCTAACTTAGTGATGACTTAACAGACAGATGATTGGATATTATCCAGGCTCGGGGCTGAAACTGGGAATAAACTGCCTTGTGAATCCGTGAGGCTGCGTTTGTGGCTATCGGGTGTTGTTGTTGTTGTGAACCATGCAACACAATTGCAACAACTTTTGCATGACTTTGGAAGCCTTGTAGATATGCACTTAGCTGTAAATGTTTAAAGTGTGGGAGCTTGTTGCAAATTTAGGGCTAAGATATCTGTGAGAAACTCAGAAAGTCCTAAATATAAATACCCCAACCCTAGACTAAGGTAAGGGACTGATTCAGTGCCATGTCTCTTTTTTAACGTGTGTCTCAGGTGGAACCAAACCCTAAGCGCCTCAGTGCTGTTGAAAGACTAGAAGCTGATAAGGCCAAGTATGTCAAGAGCCAGGAAGTCATCAATGCCAAGCAGGAGCCAATCAAACCGCCTGTGCTTGTTAAACCACCTGCTGGCCACCCCCTGCTATCCAAGAGAGGCTCTGGCATCGGTGGAGGAGGCAGTGGAGGCGGGTTACCTTTCAAAGCATCCAATAACAATGCCAAGTCAGACACGTGCGCAACAAGCTGTGGCAGCATCAAACGGGAGAATTTAAACCTAGAGATCCTAAAAAATCTGCTAAACTCATCGTCTTCTTCAGCAGCGGGATCTGGAGGCGGAGCTAAGAGTGCTGTGCAGATGAGGTCAACGGGTGGAATGCCCAGGAGTTGGACGCCATCGGGGTAAAATAATATACGTTTATCTTATATGTAATCAATAATTATGTGGCGCTCAAATATCTCCATTCAGAAAGGTTCCTCTAAATGTGTTACTTTGAGTGTAACTTGGTTATATTTGCTACAGTCCTGTGAAAAGCTATATACAACCTCACTGCTGCCCAGTTCAGCCTGATCATCGAGTGTGACCACAGCTGTAAGATCAGAGGTTTTGGCAGTTTGCTAGTCTGCAGCGGTCAGGTGTGTTAACACAATGCCACAGTCTTCCCAGGAGTGCACGTCCCAGCAAATTCCCCCCAGCAAAGACCATGCAGCCTTCAGAGAAACTGCAAAAAGCCCACGAGCTACACGTCAGACTCCGCAGGCCTCAGTTAGCAGGCGGTTATTTGTCCAAGGTAGGCTTGGATAGCATGGGGGGGTCTAGCCGAGGGACCCTTACTGGATACAGATGGTCGGGAATCAAACCCCTGACATGAAGTTCCAAAGGCGTGTAGTGTTTACCTCCAGGTGAAGCAGAGAAAGTGCTGATAGGGATAGATCATCTTTCTGATTGGTAGATGACGTGCTCTACCGCCTGAGACACGACCGCCGAAGCTCTGACTGAAAGAAGTAAAAGAGTTGTGTCCAAAGAGGAAGCCGGAAAAGGCACAGCTTTCCAAAGTGTTTCCACTGTTGTGAGGACAGTTTTAAAAAATATTAATAATGAAAAATCAAAGCTCCAGCTCGGAGAAGCTTCTGAAAATAGTTTCTGCTAAGATGCTCACTGTGACTAAGTTTAAAGAAAAGTCTGGAGGTCAGTGTTGATATGCAAAAAGACAAAAATATGACAAGCAAAATAAGAAAGCAGGTGAGTCACAAGCAGGAAGTGAAGTGAGCCTGAGATGAGCTGCAGTGAAGACAAATGTGGCTTCTGGTGTATTCGAAACCTACAGATAATGACCAAAAGACAGCCGGCCGTCATAACTTGTTCGTATGCACTTTAAATATGCAAACAAAGTCAGCTAAAAAAATATTGATAAATAACCAACATTTGTAACGTTTTATACACAATTTACGTACAGATTTTTGTGTCCTCGCGATTCAATTAGTTTTAATGTCCTATGAACAGACGAGACCAAAGTGGAGACAGCAGCATCTCTACTTTGATTTAAGAGCAAAACCAAACGGCACAAACCTCTCACACCAACTGTCAGCATGGCGGCGGTGGGATGATGATTTGAGCGCCTCACACAGATGAAGACGATGAAGTACGATTTAGACCAGGCTGTCATAGACAGCAGCAAACTGCGTTTGCTATTACTGATGATAATAAGAATCGTTTTAATTATACTAACGAAATGATTTCCGTTGTTGCTGAATGTCTTACAGTTTCATTCCCCAGAGATGCTGGAGAATCTGAATTTTGTGAGTTTTTTTGTTTTGTTCTGATAGAAATGACACCTGGTTTCTGTTTTTATTAGCTCGAGCTTTGCTGCTTTCTTGGTGAATTACTTTTGTTTCCCTGTCTCGTCGCTGCAGTCATCACTACAACTTTCTGGCTTCCTCCTCTGATAGTTTCAGGTTCAGTCAAACCTTCTTTTTTCCCTCAGCGGTGCAGGCTCACAGCATCATTACCTCTTTCTCCACTTTGGCTGTTGGTTTAGTTTAGTTGTAAGAACAAAATAGGTTGGTGGGCACGTTTCGAGAACCCTGATATTTCTTGGGAAATATTAGTGATAAGGCCGAGTTATCACAGAAACAACTCTATCAGAATGACTGGGCCACTGCAGAGGCTTGACTCTTTTCCTCAACCTGACTGAAAAGCTGTGGACTTAAGCTAGCTGAGCACAAACAAAGATCCAAAAACCTCAATGATTGTAAAGAAGAGGGAGACAGAAGTCCTCCACAGCGATGTGAGAGTCTGATAAAACCATAAAGAAAACGACTACTCCAGCTGTGGCTGCTCAAGGTGGTTCAGTTTAGTTTTCACAGGACTGCTGCTGAAAAAGGAAGTTTACTCAACTGACTACAAAAAATATTTTTCCTTTTTATTGCTCCTTGATATGACGATTGTTTGTTTTTTTAAAGGTATGTTATATTGTACACCAGAATAATGGTTTCAACACGTGTTTCTTCAGTATTTAAGTGATCTAGTGACAGTCGTCAGTATTTCTGCTACACAGTAAACAATAGTTGCTGATAATAACTTACTTTCCAAATTGTAAACAAATCCGGTGTAAAACGGTGCTCATGTTGCTGCCATGATGTAACGCAAACTTTACATTGTCACATCAGGGCGTCTCTTTCTTTGGCCTCCAAACAGTGAAAGTCATTTGGGCGAGCAGGATTTGGCGATGAGCGCGTTCAGTAGCATGCGTGTGCTAAACGGCAGTAGCATGCACAAAGCAGACACTTTAAAATTATGTGACAGGACTTTAGATAATGTTTTTTCTCACTCTGAACTTTTGAAGTAAATATAGTTCCATACGCCGCTGTCAATGCTAATCCACGTGTCGGCTGTCCACAGATGGTACCTATTTAACGTAGCCAAATACCGTAAGAGCTGTGGGCGGTGTTGCCAACTCCTCAGTAAGGAAAATCGCTATTGGCTGTCCTAAAAGTCGCTAGAAGTCGCTAAATGACGTCATCACCTAATTTGCATAATTGGTCATGCTAATGTAATTGTAACCTACGTTGTTGGAGAGAGAAATAACATCGTGGACGAGACATAAAGTGAGTAAAAAACGTCCTAAATGCATTTAGAATTTATTTAGAACTACAAATTAAATTTATTTTAGCAATTATTGTTTTTTGTAATGTCACAATTCCAACCCTGCTCCTTTACCCGGGCTTGGACCGGCAAAAGTGACCCGAAATAGGCACTCTGGTGGAGTTACAAAACAGCATAACAGTAAAAGAGTAAAAGAAGAACTGACTGCGTTACAGCACCCGCTGCTTGTTGAGAGTAAAAGCGATATGCACTTTCACGTCTTTTTTAAGCGACTTTTTTTCTAAAAAAAGTCGCTAGGGGGTTTGAAAACTCACTAAATATAGCGACAAAGTCGCTAAGTTGGCAACACTGGCTGTGGGCGGTGATAACAATTAGCTGTGCGGTCACGGAGTCTCTTTAGTACCAGGAGGTTCCAACACCAAAATCGGGGGTTGCTCTGGTGCACATCAAAAGTAAATCTAGCTCTGTGCTTAACAGCAAACGCTCCGTTGGCTCGTGTTCATTAACTTGGCTGCTGATGGTTTATAAAGGCAAATTTTCCAAAGCTAAGCTACCATCCAAATACTTGTGTCTGTGTCTTTATTTTGTTTTAGCTTTCTGTTTTCTGCTCCTAGGATGCCGTTAACCTATCGGTCGACCATGACTCTTAACGAACAACCGCCCGACTCGACTCCCAGTCCCAGCACCTCACACTCCCTCCGATCCTTCTCCCATTCACTGAAGGTTCCCCCGATCAACAGCGGGGGGCGTCGCAGTCCGCAACAGGGAGGAAACCTGAATCTCAGCAGACGAGTCCACGATGAGAGAAGCGGCGAAGGAGGCGTTATGGATCGTTCTCGGTCCCCGCTGCCACCTCTGCTTACTTCCCACTCATCTTCCGACCTCCTGCGGCTGTGCAATGGCAAGCCGCTCCGTACCGCACGATCCAGTAGCTCCTCAGCTCCGCCCCTCCCTCCCAAACCTAAACCTTCATCCCTCCCTCCTCCTGCACTTTCTTTGTCACTGCCTCCCCCTCGTCCGGCCCCGTCCCCCTCACCTTGTGACAACACCACCCCTCAGTCGCTACCTTGCGATCTTGGAGATCCTTCAAAAACGTTAGCTGATCCTAACCTCGAGCTAGAACCTGGTTCGTCGGTGGCACGCCGCTCCTCGCTGCACAGATCTAAATCAGACCTGTCAGACCGTTACGCCCGGGCTGGAGCTGACGTGGAACGCTTTTTTAACTACTGCGGACTCGACCCCGAGGAGCTGGAGGCGGTCGGTCCGGAGAACTTTGCACGGGCCAACTCGGATATCGTCAGTTTGAATTTCCGATCAGCCTCTATGATTTCCTCTGACTGCGACCGTTCTCGGCGATCTTCCAATGACGGTCTGTCAGATGGGGATGAGGGTGAGGACGAAGAGGAGGAGGCTGGGGAGCGTGTGCCATATGGCATTTCGGCTGTGGAGCGAAATGCACGGGTCATTAAATGGCTATATAGCATAAAGCAGGCGAGAGAGTCGCACAAAGTGTCCCATGTTTAGAAGTGGAGCTTCTTTAGGCTAAAGACGAACTGTCCTAATCTCTGAAGGAATCACTGCAGCGGCTTTTCTCACAGATAAAGAGGTTGTTGTCTTATTGCTGAACGAAAACTTTTTCAACTGTGTGCAGCTGATTGAAAGAGGGAGGACTGCACAGGTGTAACCCAAGCAAGGTAAGGAAAGAGACAAAAGAGTGTCTGAAGATTATAGAAAAGACCAAGACTGCAGTCCTCCGAAGTTTAGAACAAGAAAAACACCAAGAACAGAAAGAGGAAAAGCAAATTCAGTGGCAGTTAGCTGCTTCTCTGTGGACACTGTATGAACTGTTGTGTAAGCAACAGGAACAAAAGTGAAATGCATTTGTCCAAGGATCCATAATGTGGCCATCGCAGTAGCAAGGATTCAAGAGGTTTCTCACAGAGGACATTTGGACTTGTCAGACATCAGTACGACTGACACTGTTACATGTAGCCTTTGACACCTGCACTCATCGTCTTTGAAATGTTCCTCAGCCCACTTTTGTGCTCTTTCATGGTCACATCCTCAGTAGGAAATAGTCGGCCAGTTGTAAGTGGTTGAACTTCATCTTACCTCACAAATGCTGTCTGCTAGAAAAATAAATAACTTTAGCTAGCACAGAAATATTTTATACAGGCCTCAGTCTTGCTTACATTTATCGCTCATTACAGATACTTTGGATATGTTCTCCCTTTGGGACACTAACAAACAAAAACCTAACCTCTGACCCTGTGACTGAGTTTGCATAGTAAATGTATACATGTGATAAACTGAAAGCTTAAACGACAACGACCCTGCTAAGTGGGTTTGTGGATTCAGCATTAAATCAGCACATTTCTTGGACGGAGGCAGCTGTCCGTCACACAATCTGCCTAAATTTGCACTCAACGCAGCGCATGTAGCTTATTGCTAAACCATTGGTGAATGACGTCACACTCGTGGTTTGTCTAGCACCTCCCAGAAGTTCTTCCTCACAGCACTTTTCTGATTGTTTGAGGTGATCATCTCCCCAGTTTCCTGCTTTCGCCTTATCAGAAACATCAGTAATTCAATTCAATTCAATTCAATTCAATTTTATTTATATAGCGCCAAATCACAACAAAAGTCGCCTCAAGGCGCTTCATAGATACAGAGAAAAACCCAACAATCATATGACCCCCTATGAGCAAGCACTTTGGCGACAGTGGGAAGGAAAAACTCCCTTTTAACAGGAAGAAACCTCCGGCAGAACCAGGCTCAGGGAGGGGCGGGGCCATCTGCTGTGATTGGTTGGGGTGAGAGAAGGAAGACAGGATAAAAGACATGCTGTGGAAGAGAGACAGAGGTTAATAACAGATATGATTCAGTGCAGAGAGGTCTGTTAATACATAGTGAGCGAGAAAGGTGACTGGAAAGGAAAAACTCAATGCATCATGGGAATCCCCCGGCAGCCTACGTCTATTGCAGCATAACTAAGGGAGGATTCAGGGTCACCTGGTCCAGCCCTAACTATATGCTTTAGCAAAAAGGAAAGTTTGAAGCCTAATCTTGAAAGTAGCATCAGTCACTTACAGTAATAGGGTTGCCAACTTTTTAGCTAACAAATACACTCTGGCATGCCAGAAGCACAATACACAACCAGCTGGGTGTAGTGCACATATGCACTGTATGTGACATTGCAGGTAATGGTCAATAAATGGGACATTTAAGGTGGACTAAGGGACAAACCAGTGTTTGCTCATTATACAGCTAAAACGGGGCAGTTGGCAACCCTGGACAGCAACACTGGGAGGTTTGGGTAACAGTGCAGTTAACAAATACCTGTTGCTATTACCCACGGTTAAACAGCACATGAATTTTAAATAAAAAGTGAAAATCCTTATCAAGTAGCACCTGTTTCCATAACTTGAGTTGTCATTGTTCATAAGTTGGTGGAACGGCGTCATCGTCTGTGCTTTCCTACAGCAACAAGTCCAAATGTCCACTGTGAGAACAGCCGTGCTGACGAGGCTGCTAAACACACCTTGTGAAAGGCGCCGCTGCAAACACGACTGAACTGTCGGAGCAAACTCGGTAAAATCGCTTGATATTTGCGTAAAGTGACTGTTAAAGGATGGATTGATGACTTCGTCACTTGCCTCAATGAAGTTGCTGCAAATTGTTGAAAAACTCTGAAATAAAGACATCGGAGCGGGTGGTGAGTGAGACATGAAGGAAAGCAAGGAACATGAAACAAAAACTAATGTCACAAACTCTGAGCATATTTATGTGGTTACACCATCAAACCATTACACTCGTTGGCCTTTATCGTGAAATGTCTCATTACGCCTCCATGTCAGCCAACAGAACCTTTCAGCGGAGAGTTTAGGTGTCCTGAGGTGGGAATTCAATCAATTCAGGTGTATTTATTTAGCACCAGATCACAACAGCAGTCACCTCAAAGCACTTTACGCTGCAAAGTGAAGAGTCTACAGTATTCTAGAGAAAACCATGACCTCTAGTTTCAATTTGACAGCTTTTGATATAAGCCGTGGTTTTAATGGGAATTTCCCAACTACTCCATCTTAAGGTCACAGAGGGTTGGAGCCTTTCCCCATTCAGACAGCCATTGTACCACTCGAGTCAAAATTAACTGTGCTAATGAACAGATTTCTTCCGTGTGGCTGCTTTCATGACGTAGGGTGACATCAACACAAGTGTTAAAGTACCAAACCTTGACTTCACGCCGCCGATGTCAGTGGGACTATTAAACAGAACTACTGACTTTTCTTTGGTGGCGCCCAAATAAACCAAACGCCCGGTGTTGAAACAATCAGACCTGTAGATGTATCCACAGACGGTTCAAACCTTTATTGCAGTGGAAACCTAATGAGAATGTGAAGCTGCAGGACACCAAGACTCTCCTGTCAAAACAGTGTTGGTACAAATCATCATGTGTCACCACGTGCAAAAACCTACACTGAAAGCAATATTATGCATACCGTGTTGCAGTGTATGAAGGTGTCAGACTGAAGTGTTGCTCACGCTGATTGCACCCTGCGCTCTCCATCTCTACTGTACCCAAACCCTCAGTCAGTCCATCACAGGAGGAAAGTCTTTCACTCGGCCTTTGTTTGCTCCTAATAATGACGGTGGCCGGATTACGAGTTCCACACCATCCTTCACATCTGTCTGCAAGCCGCTGACATGTCTGAAGGCCTGAAGCCATATGGGTGTGAATGCAGTGCCTCAGCCAGCAGTTCCATCTACCCCACCACCACCTCCTCCTTTTAGCTCACTTACAGGTCTGCAAAGGTCCAAGTGCCCTGCTGGCTTCACTTCACTGCCCCTCATACTGCACTGCAGATACTGTTGGTGCTGTGGAAGCATAAACGTCTGAAACAGCTGGAGTCGGCTCTGCAACGTTAAAC